GGGGGGGGGGGGGGAGGGCACGTAGGAGGATTGGATTTATATCTATTGTGCGGTTCGAAACAATGCACTTTTAGCGCGGGCGCACGCACTGCGCCGGCGGAACGGCGTCTAAATCTCTCTCCTCGGTCACGTCACACCGCCTTGGCTTGTCCGCCCCCTCCGTGTCTTTTCCACCGTGTAAGTACACGCGCGAGATAAATTACATCCTTCGCGCCGAGTGCGCGCGAGTCCGCTTTACAACTCCTTTTACAGCAATCGCAAAGTCGCCGACGACGACGCGAAGCCGACCGGGTCCTTCTTCCACCAGAACTCGGTCCCCGCGAAACAAGTCCCTCTTCGTCGAGCCTCTTTGCCGGTTCTCGGAGAGGAAGTTAAAAGAATGGTCGCGAGCATCGATGATCCAGGGTTGCTTTTTCGAAATCACCGTCGCGGAACTCCCGTGTTCGAAGCCTCGTTACTCGTCCCTAATCGCGAATTACTCGTCGCGTTTTTTTTTTAAACGCGCGACGAGAAAAAACGGAGCACGGTCAAGTGTCGGCGATTCATCATGAATGGCGGCAGCAGCGGAAAGGTACGTGAGGCCCAGGAAGAGGGGGGAGGAGAAGAGGAGGACAGAATCGGGGCCCGCTCCGTTGGTGCGCTTTATGCTTGCTTTTTACGCGCCGCTGAATTACCTGGTCAATGGCACGAGGGGGGAGAGCCCCACGTTGCTGTCCGCGTGTATGATTTTTCCGCGAGCCCCCCGCTGCCCCCGACCGGGCCTTCCCGATTGTTCCTGTGAATGGCGTCGAGCACTCCGCGAAATTCCGGCACGAACGGAAAGAGAAGCGAGGAGGAAGAGGGAAAGAGAGACGGAAGAGGCGCACCGGACGAAAGAGAGAAGAATTCCGAGACACGAAAACACACGTGGAATCTCAGACGAGAGGATTGCACGCTCTACTTTGTCAGGGATTTTCGTATGCTGAGGTAATTCGGAGAATATAAAGTCTGAAATAGTGAATTACCTAATTCGTGAATGTCTAAAATTAACCGAGACTCGAGAAACAAGATTGTCAGTTTATTTCCGATCTTATCTAACAATTACTGACAAAGTCGTCAACTTAAATTTTACCTAACAGTTGCAAAATTTTAGCTGAGTTTCTTTAGCAAGTTTGCAAGCTGAAGTTCTTTAGCAAGCTAATAATTATAGATCGTGATACATTTAGGCAAATATTGGGTATAGAAAATTGTTTATAAAACTTAGTACTTAATAGAAACTTGTTTATAAAATATACTTTGCAATTTGTGTACTCCTCCCATTTCAAGGCTGTGGAACTTGCGATTGTCAGGCAGTGTTGGAAAATTAGACAAGCCCGTAATCCGACGTTCGAAGCATCGATGCATTTTTCCAGATTGTGCTGAAGCGTTGAGACACCGAGTCGGTCGATTTTCGAACGTCTGGCCGTGTATATCCGCGACTATGTCTGTCGCAGTCCGCGGTGTACACTTCATTGATTATAATTCCGCGAGTACGCGACATGCGATCTCAAGGAGAAAGCATGGAATTGTTAATACTCCTATTATTTCCTCTCTGTTATTGCATATGCGACAAGCGCCTTTCGCATGGAATATATTTATTTATAAATAACCATTCGCGAGTCTCTTCGTTTCTTCAAGATTTCACTTTTCATGAATTGCGACATTTTGCAACACGGATTTTTCGCCAGCAAGACACCGGTACTGAGTGCTACGTGAGAGAATAGTCTCGGTAATTCGCGCTAACATGTGTGGAAACATTCTATTCTATGTTTCCAACATGACTTTTGCGTACGCTTCGAGAAAACAATAATGAAATCAATCGCAGGTAGGAAGTTCGGAACTCTTTTCACCGACCAACCCTTTTCGTTGTCCTTGTCGTGAGAACGACTCGGTTATCTTTGCACGTGCACAAACACACACACACACACACACACGCACACATACGCATGCACGCTATAGAATAAATTCAAAGCGGCATACAGCCACGCACTATACCACGCGCTCCGCTAAGTACACACACACACATACACACACTGCATTCGACGTGCTGCACTTTTCTTCAGGCACTCCTGCCGATATCCGAGCGAAATTAAATTATTTTTAACTGATAGAAAAATATATATGTACATATACCTAATGGATCTTTTTATTTCAAGCCGGATGAGCCTCTTTTTGTTATTTATCCGGGATTGTATTATCGCGGGAGTCGACGAGGAGAATCGGTTTCGCCGCCGACTCGAGAAGAGACTCCTCGCTGTCACTCCGAGACGTGGGAAAAAATCAGAGTGGTCAGGTGGCGCGGTAGAGCAGAGAGGTTTCGCGGTTCCTCCGGCGGTTCCGAACGTCGCGAAATAAAGCGGCTTTTATCGCCACGCCAAGGCGAAGGCGAGGCGAGCGATTCGCGTGGGCTACCGCCGCTAAACTGAGAGCGTCTACGCCAAGGGGCACACCTGAATCCCGCAGCGTCGGTCACTACCTTACTACGACGCCTATAGCGCCGGTACTATAGTGCATTGCGCTGCGCAATACCGGGTGGCAGGTGTGACGGCTCAATCTTCGTCGGCTTATCAACCTTTGTAGCGAGGGTTGCGTTAGAATTTGCAATTTTGTCAGTGCAAAAATATATTTCTCACGAGGGCGAGGGGAGGGAGCGAAAAGTGTGAGTAAAATTCTGCTTCGAGAGGGATGCGTTTTCTGCATTTTGCACTTCGCGAAAGAAATGCCGATATGTTGCGTATAATTGATAAATTGAGATATTCGGAGACGGTTGCGTAATTTTGTGATAAATATAGATAGCGACTAGAGAAGCGCTTCGGGTCTGGATATCTACGATATCACGCGCGATAACGCACTAGAGAGAGGAACGATGAATCGAAAGTATTTTAAAGAAAACTCAAGATAATGCCGCCGAGAGTACTCAACTCATCGGGCGCAGGGCCTTCGTTTCTTCCGAAACTTCATTCTGTTATTTCAATTTGGAATTTAATCTGTAAAATTAATTAAAGGTCAATATCTCTTCGTGTGAGAAAAATGTTCAAGAATATCTTCAGATATACTCATAAATAATTTTTCAAGCTTACTTTCCACGACAATTAATGAATAATAAAGTTTTTCAGTAGCGACAAATGGTGAATTCTCTCCTCGAGTATCCGTTGATTGAAAATCGGCCTCAACATTTTTCAAGCGCATTTCGAGCACAGAAATATAATGATACTCTTCAACTTAACGTGAAAAATATTGTCAACATCAGATAAAATATTAATCAAACATTCCTTCGTTACCTTCTCGAGTGAAGTCGCGCGCGGAGGAAAGGTTCTCGAGATGGATTTGGCGGGTTCGGAAATTTGTGTCGGACCCTCCGACCTTGTGTCGCGTCTCATCGTTCAGTCGCTCGCTCGCGACTCCACGCCACCCGATATAGCCGCAGCACAGGTGAGCGGACTATAGAGCGCCAGCAGGGAACGTTGTTACACTATTATTCCTATGCTGTTTCCCTGGGCCCCGCTTCGCTTCGCCTCACCTGCCCGCTTCGTCCGCGCCACGTACGGACGATTCCGTGCCAAAACGATCATACTCGGGCAAGAAATGGCCGGCGAGATGGGCAGATAGGAGTTTTATTCGGTATCTGGGACGAGCACCTCGGGATCCACGAGCGTTAGCGCGCTCGAAACGCGGCGCTAACGAGCCGCGATAAATCCGAGCCGCGAAGATGCAAACGAGATACGAACGAAAAGGCTGCCCGGCCGCCCGGAGTAAAAAGATCCCGTGATATACCTAGAAGTAGCCTCGAACGCGAATCAATGGAATTTCATGAAACAGCCGAGTCGGGGCGCCAATTTATCGCAGATCTCGCCGAGATGCGAGATGGCGCGCGGAGGCGAGCGAGAACAATAAACGCCGTAAAAATCTAGAGAGGCCCCGAGACCGTCGAAAGTAAAAAGATCGCGCGATAAAAGCGACTTTAAACAAATGCGGATGGAATTTCATGGAACGTGCGGGTCGAGGCAGCGATTTATCACCGCTCGCTATTGTCCTGCGAATCCACTCGCAGGCTAACTTTAATCTACCTTTCCTCCTTCCTGCCGCTTTATTCTCGAAAGACGTTTCGAGCGGTGTCGCTTTCGCGGCGAGCCGTCTTCCACGGAAGGCACGCGTTGCATCTCAGCGGCGCTTGATTAATCACTCCTGGTCCACAGCACGTACAATATCACGGAAATGCCGATGTAGAAGACGAGAAAGTACATCGACAGCAGGAACGTGATCGATAGCTGTATTATTCGTCGCACCTCCATGTCTGCGCCTTGAAGTTTTTACGATATCGCCTGGATATTCGCGCTGGAAATTAGCGGCCGAATCGGCCTGGAAGTCACGAGAACCGACGATGATCTCGAATGTGCGCGTTAAGCGTTTTACGCACTATTAAGCGCCGAATGTATTCTTCTCATCGAATCTCTCGCGTCGGATCTCTCGCCGCGCGTGAAATGCGAGACCGGCGATTATTGTATTTTTTTTGACGTTGCCGCTCGGTCGAAACGCGACGCGTCGGACCGTAAGCGCAGAGATCTCATTGGAAACAGCGAGAGGGAAAATCGCTCGAGGAAGGAAGAGAGAAAGAGAGAGATAACAAAAATTTCCCTACCGACGTCTTTCCTCACGACGAATTACCGAGGTATCAGGTCGAACGCGTTTCGCGCTTAATGGCCGGACGATTTAATTATTTATCTCCTTCTCTCTCGTTGCTGTCGGTTTCCTTTCGTTTCCTCTCGGCATATTCGCCCGGTGTCGTGCTAATTAATGCATAACTTTACGAGCTATTGTATTTTCGCGCTTTCTGAACGTCTGTTTCAGACAGACACGATTTTAATAGCAGCGCGGGAATTGTCCGTCTCCGGAAACGTGTCAGTTGAGGCACGGCAGGAGCACGTTTTTCGATTTTCGGCGTGTCGACGCTCGCACATGACTCTCCTAGGGTGTACTGGACGCTTTTGAATCGGGATACGCGCCAGAGGCTTCGATAATCGATGAGCTTATCGCTACAAAGCGCCATATGGCGGTCTTCGTTGAATATACGAGCGTACACGTCACGGCAAATGTGCGTTGAACGGTATAACATATACATAACTCAGTGGACGGCAAACTTAGCAGATAAAACTGCACCATGAAATATGCCGCTTTATGAAGAAAATGTTCCCCGAGAGTTTTAGAATTAAACATTACATTTGCATCGAGAGCGATATTCTTCGTGCTATTCCAAGCATCAAATATAAAATTATGTTATTATTATTATTATTATTATCTTTATTAAGTATCTTTATTTAGTATGTTTATTAAGTATTGTGCAGTATTGTTTAATTACATTAAATGAACAGTAAGAAGATATATAAATATTCAATCGAGAGCACGGAAAAAAGGAATTAGCTGTCCATACAATACAACCGAAATTTAGTTATCAAATCTAGTTTTTAACTGTGGAAGTTAAAAACTAGGTAAAGGGACAAAAAATTAGCTAAATCAATTAAATTTTAGTTGTCATCATGGACAGCTAATTTTTACCCATGGAAGCTAGTTTTTAGCTGTGGGAACTAATTCTCTTTTCCTGTTAACTAATCGTTGGTGTTAGGCCCAACCATAATGTAAGGGAGCATAAGTAGAGACAAAGAAAGAATTACAATAAAAGAAAAATAAAATAAAATAATATATAAAAATAAAATAAAATAAAAATAAAATAATATAAAATAAAAATATTATTATTGTCATAATATAAAAACAATTCGGCAAACAGCGATAATCCTTTGCCGTTTGTTTTGATTTTGTTGTTCGGTCGATTAATCAAAATAGATTAATTACGTTCGGCGGATATGAGGATTTTTGTCTGGACGGGAAATTAAATCTGCACCACACACACACACACACACACACACACACACACACACACGACACTTTTATCGACATTAATTGAATCATTATATATGTATCAGCCGTTTTGCGAAACGAGTTCAAGTTTAAGAATACGGCTGGAAAGATATTCCTCCGCTTTTTCCAACGGGAAATTAAAATCTCGCAAGGCTTTCGCGGTCGATTGCAAGCGATTGTCGCAATAAGAATGAAAACACATGTCGGGGATTTAATTGGCAGTCACGTGAACACGCGATTGGGCAATTACGGCAATTATCGGCAGCCAATGCGCGGCCAGGCGGTCGCGAAAGCGAAACGATACTTGTTACCGTACGATAATTGCATCGTTTGCGATTATTAATTATGGATGCGGCTCTTGAGAATGCGGGATGCAAACGAACGGATCGGGAATCGAAGAAAGGAAACTTTAAAGCTCTCTCGGTCGTGATTACTATTATTTATCATCAATTAAGCGATTACAAGGGGAAAGTCGAGAGAGCTTCAACCAGTCTTTAGTCCCCAATCTGTAGGTTTGTTTCTAATAATTATAAGTATGATTGTACGGAGATATCGTACATGCGTTAACATCGTAGCTGTAAACATATAAACTCGAACAATCGTGTCGATCGCTTTGATAATTGTACGTTTGCGTTCACTAATTATAATTACCTTGAGCATCGAACTGCCTCCTTCGCCGCAGCATCGTCCTTCCTTGAGAAGGGACCGGTCCTGCTCTATCGTGGCCATCCTCGTTGGTTTCGTCCTCACCTGCGCTGGTAGCGCTGTCGCGCTGCACCACCTCGTCGCCGCCGATCGTCGACGAAACCGCGCTTCCACACCCTCCGAAGAACTTCACCTTCCTGGCCAGCTCCGCGTATCCGTGCAACCCGGTCTCGCTCAATCTGTGGAAGGAAATCAAATATACTGTATAACTTCCGGGTTTTCGAAAATCCTGACAGCTGTACTTGATCGAAGATAATTGTATAGAAGATAATCTTCTGAATATGTGCAATTTAATATGATTTTTCAAAAAGATCGAAATATTATATCTTTCTTCGAAAGAGATCAAGTGAAGGATTACATTTCATTTCAAGGAAATGAGTCGCCTTGGTTTCGTCTTATCTCGTCTGTTCTCTCACCTGACGCTTTCGCTGCCGCTGCTCTCGTATCTGGTGCTGCTGTTGGACTCCCTTCTGGTCCTCGTGATGGCGTCACGTATCCTCTGGGAAGCGGAACAGGAGTCTCCACCGATTTTACGTGGCAACGCCGGTGTGGGCTCGCTCTCGCTCTCCCGAGGACTGTATCTTGATGATCTTGTGCTCAGTGGACTGGCTTCCGGCGACAGATGCTGCAAATGAAAACGAGAATTTTGTTAGAAACGATCTTCTGCTACATATTTCGGCCTTTCAAGTGACGTGATACGAAAATAAAATAAATATAACTAGAATAATGTAATGTAAATAGAATAATATAACTTGATATAGGAATATATGAATTATATGCAGTGAAAAATTATACAATATTAAATGTTTACACATCCTAATTATTATATTTTCAATGTTATCACAAAATATAACAAATCTCTCGTCAAGAATTTTTTGAAATATAAATTGAAGAGAATTTATCAGGATTATATTAATAGATAATTGTTAAATTTGTTTTAATTGAATGAAGACTTACGCTTGAACAACGCTTATTAGGAGCGTCGTCGGTGTCGTCTGGATTCGAGAATTCCTCTTTGGAGAACTTTCGCCGTATCTGCTTAAGAAACAATACGTGCATAAGATGTCGTGCCGACGCTCGGTATTAAGCAACGAGAGAATCATGAATAATGATAAATAATAAAATTCAGCCGCGCATGTGTGCGAGCCACCTCCTTTCCTGTCGATTCATAAATATGCAATCGGCACTTCTACGTATACCCGCCTGTATCCCAGAAGATTATTATTAATTATTATTTCGTCACTTCTTACGTAAGTGGTGTAATAAAGATGTTTACGACCTTTGTAATTTTTCGTATTTCATACACAGAAAAAAAGTGCTGGAATCAAGTAAAACGTAATTACCTGTTTTTCAGCCTCTTGTATCAAAAAATATTTTTATGAATTTAAGTGTATTTCAATAACTTGTAGTAAATATTTATTTGAACGCAGTGATCTTTCATTTGTAAACGAATTACTGAATGTAAGTGTAAAATGGTTCTAAATTTAGGCGAGTATTTCTATTCAATAAATATTTTCCAAAAATCAATTGATATTCCCAATGTTATAAATTTAATATTTACCGTAATTGTTTTAACTCATACAATTACATGCCCACTATATGAAGGAAATGTTATATAGTGAAATGGTTACTTCAATAATCCTTGGTAAATATTTATTAAAAATAGAAATATAGTCAGCTATATTTATTAAAAATAATAATATATAAATATTTATTAAAAATAGAAATATAGTCAGCTATATTTCCATTTTTAATAAATATTTACCAAGGATTATTGAAGTAACCATTTCACTTGGATCAAATAAACATCACTTGAACGTAGCACTTTTTTCAGCGTACACACACTCGAGCCGGATTTCTCCGTGTTAAAAGGATCCTGCTGAAGCGTGCTACGATTCTGTTAACGGAAAATGATCCGAGCGTCTCGAAGAGATTATCCGAGACTTTTTCACAGCCGATCGCGATAAATAACATTTGCAACAGCGCCCATGACTAAAAAGGCAGCTACATTTCCGATGAAAGTAAAAATCTCCAATTTGCATAAATATTCCGAAAGCTCAAGTAGCTTTCATTATTTTCGTACACGACGCGACTCGCAAATGTGTCGAGATGCGTCGAGTTTGCCTTATCAGATGACTCCTTCTTACCCCGTCGGCTCGTTATTAATGAAAGATACATACCGCGGCAACATACATTTCACCGGACGGAGGAGGCTCGCGTTTCGCAAAGGATGCTGGTGACACCTCCGTACATACATGCACACGCACTCATGCACACGCACGCACGCATTTACGCCCACGACCGGCCGTATTCACTGACCACTTGGAACTCGTCCAGCCTCTTCCCATAGCCGATTTCCAACAGGCTCCTCCGTTCACCAGCGATGCCAGTGACGTCACCGTCACTGCCGTCCAACAGACGCTCGGCGGTGTCCCTGGTCTCCTCGTCGTCCTGCTTATCGTTCTCCGGGGACTCGACCGGTTCTCGCGCCAGCAAATGCTTCTCGTCTATCACTTCGCCTACGACCATCGTGTCCTGTTCCCGCCGATCCTCCTGCGTCCTATCCTCCGCGACGATCACGTCGATCATCCCAGCGTCCTGGGCGATTTCGACATCGGCCTGAGTCGCGATCTCCTCCTTGTCGCCTCGTGTCGCCTCGTCCCGCTCGACGGAGACGACAGCCTCCTCGCACCTCGATTCCTCGTTAACGTCGTTAGCGTCCTTGCTGTCTTCGCACCTCGTCCTGTTCTGCTCGCCAACGGCTCGCGATCTCGTCGCGCCGCCCACGCCTCGATCCTCCGTTCTCTCCTGCGTTTTATCCTGCTGTTGCTTTCCTTTCGTGGAGCCGATCGAATTCGCGCTTTCTCTGCCCACGTCCTCGCGACTGTTATCTCGACGAAAGATCCGTATTCCTGAAGCCTTGCCGCCGCCGTCGTCCTTGCTGGCGGACGACGAGGCGACCAGCGACGAGGTCTTGGCCTCCTCCTTGGGATCCTTTCTCGCGGACTTGAGCGGATGGCGGATGTCGTCTTTGCTGTCTTGCCGCTTCAGTCGCTCTTCTTTGCTGCGAGAGGACAGCAGTTTCGGGATCAAACTCGGCACACTTATGTCCTCGCGACTGCGGCGCAAGTCGTCGGTGCTTCCTCTATACCTGAACAGGATAAAAGCAGGATGTAATAATTATATTATTTAGGAATTTGAAAACACCACTTTGCAAACACTTTCTTTCTCGTCCTCCTCTAAAAGCTGCTTTCTGTAATTTTAATTTGTAGTCGCTCCGGACGCTTCGATTATTCGAAAAATCAAAAGGATGAAAAGATTTCTCTTTGGGAAAATAACTTACATAATAAAACAATTAATATTCGTTGGAAATAAATATGGAAAGATTATTATACAAATTGGCTTCCGAGTTAGTGCTGCATCTTTTATGGATTTGTTTTCGACGTTTCGCAAACGGTTCGGTTTCAGGTTGTTCCTCGCGCTGAAGAAGTGAACGCGGAAATGTTCACGAAACGTCGGAAACAAATCCATGAAGCACGTGGTACTAATTCGAAAGCTAATGTAAATGTAATGCTAAAACTTAAATGTTTCTCCACTGCGAAAGCCTAAAATATCGATGGAAAGATTACAATAGAATTTTGATGAAAGGAGGATTCTCACCTCTGAGGGATAAGCGATCGCTTAGGCGATTCCTGTGGGCTGCGGATATCCTCGAACTCCTTGGAGCTCCTCCTGAAGATGGGAATGTTCGATTTCCTCTCGCCATGCTTCGTCGGGCTCGGTTTCGTCTCGGGAGATATGAACTTCGTAAGGATCCTGGGCGGCTTGATCAATGAGATTCTCGGTGTGCTCGGCTCCTGCGCAAGATCCTCCTGCTCATCTGTTTTACTCTTGTTCGATCGTTCGGTCCTCTTGAACCTTATGGCATCCGGTGATGGCACTTCCTCCTCCGATCTACCGGTAGTTTTCTCCTTTTTCGTTCGTTCGTTGATCGACACGCTCTTCTCGCTCGCCTCGCACGCGTCCTTAGAGTCCTCGTTACTTTCGACTCGATCCTTAGCGTCCGAACTGCTGTCTCGCGAGTATTCGCCGGACTTCAACGACGCACTGTCGTTCTTCGAGTCTTCCAACGGCTCTGGATAGTCCTGATGACGGGACGGCAGGCTGCGATATATTCGCAGCTCCGGGGATTTCCTTGTGGCTGACCAACGCGTCGGTGGACCTTTTGGGAAAAAAGAATTCATATAACGAAACAGTAGTAATCCAGAATGAATGCGGATATATGATTAGCTCTACTGAAAAAATATCGAAACGTGTGTCTGCTATCGTTAACGACTAATAAATTTGTACATAATAGAGCTGTTCGATATAATTTGTTAACATCTCGTAGCACCGATTCTTTTTAATAGGTCAAGATCTCTCAGAGGTTACGAGAAAAGTTTATTATTTTATATTTTATCGGGGGTGAAAAGCTTAAGGTCCGCTTTCGCACAACAATAAAGGTAGTATAAGTCGATGTAAATTATAATAATTGATATTGATTAATAAGCGTGATATCCTCGCTGACATTTAGCTTTCGCCGTCTGTTAGTGCGTTTGCACTTTCTCCCGAGTCATTGATCGGAGATTAATTATCGGTACGCACCATTAATCGTCCAAGCACGTCGGATGCTGTGGTTCAGCGAGTTCGCAGTGGACGGCGATGTCTTCTCGCTCAAGGATTCCCCGGCGACCGGACCTTCGTACATCCACTTGCCGGTGAGTGCGTGCAATTCTCTGAAAATTGAACTGGCATTACGAAATTAGGTCGAAGGCTGGTCGAAATCGCCATGGAGGTAGGAAGCGAGGAACAAAAGATGCATCACACGCGTCGTGGAAGAGGCATACCCTCCGTTATTACTCGACCTAAATTCGACGTTGCTGAAGTTTCACTCGTCTCATACTATTTCATTTATATAGAGGAGAAGGTGGTATTATGCCCCCTCCCCCCCTCCCCCCCTC